TATATTTACTAGTACTAATACTAAGTCTACTATTTAGTACTATTAAGAATAGTCTATATAATTATAAAATAGAAAAGTTCTATAAATAGTAAAGTTAGTGTATAAGCCTATAGTACTTAGGTACGAGCCTAGCGAGCCCACAGCACTTAGGCTAAGCCTAGCGAGCCCATAGGAATTAAGGTTTACCCTATAAGCTTATAATAAGCATCTATTATAGCCTAGCGCTGCGAGCCCACGGTAGCCTAGGGCTTACTAGGCTACCCGGTCTAAAATATAGATATCTTTCGTACTAAGAAAATAGATTAGCCTATAACTCGCTATCGAACCTTCTTCTAAAGGAATTAAGTAAGTTACTCTAATATCTAGTAGTAGCTTACCTATATCTTCTTCTAAGAATATATTACTAAAATCTCGATACTCTTTCGGTAAAGAGACCGCTATACTTTCGCTATTATCCTACGATTCCTCCTTAATAGAATTACTATAGGACTTTAAGTTCTTTAAGTAGATAGCGTAAATCTAATAGGTTTTAGCTAGCTTTATTACCTTCTAAAAGGAAATAAGAACTATATACGCTTCTCGTACTATATAATAATACTACGTATTTTCGCGCTAGCGAACTTCTAGGTCTACTACGTAAAGCTAGGTATACCTAAAGATTATATTAAAGTTATTAAGATTAGTAGCTAGAAACCTATAGGTACTAGAAACGTATATTCCTAATATATTAGTCGTATATAGGACTATATAGTAATTTTTATAAACTTAAATTAAATAGTCGTCGATAGCGTAAGTATACTTCTTCGATATCTTCGTAGCGAGGCCTTCCTCTATAATTACTCTTTATAATATAAAGTTTAGCTCCGCTCCGAAGTCGATTAATACGCGAAGCGTACGCCTCTTACTACTAAACTCTATATTTATAGTTACTACTAGTATTTACGACGATATTATACTACTCTTTAATAGTCTTAATACGCTAGTAGCGCGTAGCGTACTAGATACTAATTTTTTTATCTAGAGGAATTTATTCTTCTTCTAACTCTTATTCCTAGCTATATCGCTAGCTACCTTACTAGTACTCTATAAATACTCTACTCTTATATATTTAAGTTAGTTATAGTTTTAATATAGTCTATCGCCGAAAGTAAGTCTATACTTCTTATTCTTTCCCTTCGACTTATCGTTATATAAATAGAATTCTAAGCGTTTCCTTTAAGGAGTTTTCGCGCTTAACTTACTAGAAGAATACTTCGAGACTTCTCGTAGTTTAGGCCTTCTACTAAAAGTTCTTTAGAGCTCCTTCTAGCGCTATATCGCGCGTAGAACCTATTCTTTAAATTTAATATCGAGTAATTATCTTATTACTTCTAGTCGAATCTTAGGCTTTAATATAAGTAATAGCTTCTAAGTATATATCTCGCGTTTAAATATCGATAGAATATTCGTTCGAATATATATAAGCTCTTCTTATAGCTCTCGAACTATCTAGCTTTCGCCCTAGCGTTTTCGCTATAGGCGACTTAGTATAGATATTAGGCGATTCGCTAGGTCTTATACTAGATTTCGTAGAAAGTAGATAAAGTCTTCTTATATTAGGACGGCCTCTTTTTAGCGCGTCTATACTAAAGTAGTAGTATTAGTTAGGAACGTAGTCGCTAAGTTAATATAATTCGCGTCCGATAGTATCGTCGAACTCGATAGTATAGAAAAACGAATCTACTAATAGATATCGAACTTCTATAGACTAGCTAGCGAAGTACCTACGTATATCTTAAATTTTCCTATCTTAATATACTTTACTAGACTATCTTCTTATAGGCTTACTAGTCGCTTACGAAGAAGTAGCGTTATACTTAGGATATCTACCGAATCGTTAACTTACTTACTTCGGAGCTCCGCTTCTATTCGTTATATTTTATTTAGCTATTTCTTTTCTAGTAGCCTACGTTATAGTTATACGTAGCGATCTTATACTATCGATATAGGTACGATACTTAACGCTCTAGAGCTTCCTTAAGAAGTATCTTCCTTAGCTCTACTAAGCGATAATAGTAGGTTACTCGAGCCCGCTCGAGATCCGCGCGTCTTTCGCGCTTCCTCTACTACGCGCTAGGTAGAGCCCGATAGCTCTCCTACTTAGGGCGATAGATTTTCTATTTACTCTATCTAAGCTAATAACCTTCTTTAAGTACGCGTTTTAGCTACGCCGCTTATACCCCTAAGTCTTTTCCTTAGTATAGTAGTTAAGGGAAGTTCTTATAGAATTATTAGAATATAAGTAACTTAACGAGAATACTAAGATAATCGATTAATTACTATATAGTCCTTAGAATATCGACTATAAGAACTTAAGGAGTTTAAAAACCTCGTATACGATTCGTATAGCCCCTAAGGTCTTATATACTAGGCCCCTTAGTATTTTAGGACTAGTCTTAGTATAGGATAGGTACTTCTAGGGTCTACCGTAGTCCTATCCCGTAATAATATAACTATATAGCTAAAGCTACGTAACTCCTTCCTATCGATTATCTTCTAGGAAACTATACTAACCTACTATAGGAGAGGGTAGGGAGTATTTCCTTTATTCGTATAGTAGATAGATTTTCTCTTTTCTTTTCTCTCCTTAGCTTTAGAATTCTCGTTATATGGTAGTTAGACGAATTACTCTAAATTCCTAGCTAAACCCTTATAGAGATCTCGTATTTAAGTAAAGCTAGGAGGATATTCTTATACCTTAAGGTTAAGTATCTACTATATAAGTATTTACTCTTATTCGTTTAATAGTAGTTACTATAGTTTACGAGTAATTACTCGTAAAATACTACCTTATAGTCGACGACTAAGACTAACTCGACTAACGTTATTAGCCGCCGCAGCAGCGCGAATACTTGAGTATCGACGAGTTTGATAATCGGATATCGCTTGGAGCATTCTCGTCTCTTGATTTGAGGCCATTTTATCGTATAAATAGGTGAGTTGGTGGAGTAGTTGGATATGAAAGAGAAGGAGTGGTTGAATTCTACGTGTTTTAACGCGTGGCCCATTACTAGGGTGGCCCATTACGTGGGTGTCCGACTTAAAGCGCCGAATAAGGGTCAATAGCTCCTTGCCGCTTTTGGCACCGCTCTCTACACGGGTCGAAATCACCACTCAAGGCTCAATCTACGCCACCGGGCAGCTTCGAGCTTTTAAGTGTCGCGAGCGTGACTTCAAGCTACCACACGCCACACCAGGGCTTGGAGGATGAGCGCAGTGCCGCCTCAACCCCTATGGCCGGCCGGGCTAATTGCTCCTTACTATTCACCAACAGTCTAGAAATCACCCATGCATTTCGTCACCCAATGCTAGACAAGCAAGCAACAAAAACCACGGGATGAATATCGACGGTGCTCAAGGCAGGTGAAAAAGATGCCTTTGGCCAGGAGATATGCACGAACTTCCTTTACAGAAATCCAATTCTAACCCAACGCCCTCCAAACTTGCATGGAGAACTAGCCACCATGAACCGTGAAAATGCGTGAGAACCTCCAGCTGCCGTTCCACGGTCTTTGTGCATGCTGCTCATATGGCAATGCCACAATCGACCACAATATTCTGGCCGGTAATGGACGTATTGAACACTACAACTCTGACCACATCGGCGACGTCTTGTGGCGTGGCCGTCGATTTCAGAGCAGCTTTCTCTGTCGTCGCCTTGACCTTGGCCTCTGGGAACTGGCTCCCCCTGAAGACATCACGTAAGCAGAGGTCTTGCACATCTCAATAGACTGCACACTCACCATTCGGTCAACATCAAACCGGGGCTAATACTGTTGCACCGCACGCTTTTCCCACAGATGATGGCTAGTCCCTTGGTCAGGTGGATTTCCGCTGCCTTCGTCACAGCGTACGGCAGGGAGCTTCCGCTGGGTCTGACACCCGCAAGGCTGGCGATGGTCACAAAAGCGCCGCCGCCGTCGGCTTTCTCGAGGTACGGCTTTGCAGCGTAGAGGAGCCACAAGTGGCTTTTGACGTTGATGTCGAAACATCGGTCCCAGTCCGATTCGTTCACCTGCTGTTCGAGGTCGAAAAAGTTCGTCACTCGGGTCCACCCAACGTTGCTGACGACGACGTCGAGTCGGCCCATCGTCTCGACGGTCTCGAGCACGAGACGCTTGATTTCCGCGCGTTGCTGGACATCGGCTTTGATGGCATGGAAGCGCACCTCGGAGACGCCGAGCTGGTACGTCGGTGGGATGGACGACGCTTTTGCGATGACTTGTTGAGCCTTTTCCAGGCGCGAGTTGTAGTTGACGACCACGCGATAGTGGCTTGCCAGCGCCTCCACTATTGCAGCACCAAGGCCAGCGCTAGAGGCCGTTACAAGCGCAACTGGTGTTGCCATCGTACTAGCTGCTATGGCCGGAGTCGGAAGTCTTGTCTTTCTTGATCTCTCAGGGCAAGGAACGCCAAACAAGGGGATGTGCTAGAAGCTGACGAAGTGAAATTCGCGCCAGAGTACGAGAGATTCTTACGTTGCGGAGGACGACGCCTGGGTCAGTGATACAAATACTTCGATTCGTGGTGGCATACCCAACATCGCCAGCCAGCCGTCGAGTTCCGCCCGCACTTCTGTCCGGACGGTTCACGAAGGCGGGCTCTAAAAGGGAGGATTTGCTTCGTGGAGACTGTGGAGTCGCCTCACCACTGACTGCTCACAAGGTTAGATGAAAGTGGCCAGACTACGACGAAAGACTCAAGGGTCTCTTTCGGTTGGGGTTATCGCCTCCTGTATCGCTGCGTGAAACTGCAACTACGCCGTACTGGAAAAGATTACTTCAAGGTCTGCGCTTCCGTTGTGGCATGTTTACAAGCAGAGCCAAAGATGCCGAAATTTTCACTTTCGGCGAAGAGTAAGACGTCTGTAACCTCATGTTCACATCCAGCAATCCTAACCAGCCCCGATAGTTCTAAACACTTCCATTTCCGGGTTCGGAATCTTCTCCAGCACGCGCTACATGCTCATGGCCAGTGTGAGAGCATTACATTTTCCACTCATCTGCTGGCCCTGATATATATCAATTGCAGGTATCTTATTCCCTGGGCAAGCTGAGTCTCGCCAATCTCCCTGTTGTCCGATTATCGCCGTTCGTTGACAGGAGGCGGATGGGTCTGACTTCGCGTCAGTGAGCAGTCTGAAGCCCATCCGTCTAGGATCCTACACAATCTCTAAGGAGTCTGCACAACCACCCTCATGCGTCTGAGGTCGGCCAGGCCATGTGAGACCATGGGGATCTGTTTCGTCACAGGACCTGGAGTTCCTTCCCAGCCCCCGCGGTCTCTGGCTTTTCGCACATCACACTTCTGTGATGAACGACTGCTCTTTAGACCAGCTGTTACGAGATCTGCCGAACATCGAGATGGGTGATACACTCTTTAGCTGAGGATGTGCAACCCGAGTTCTTCCGGGGATTGCACATGGGAATACAGAAGAAATTCACATCGGAAGATTTCCGAGTAGTGAGACAGTTGTGCCACTTCCGAGCACAATTTCATAGCTTCGTCATCCCCAGCCTGCAATCATCGCAGCAGATTGTGCGTGTCAGCATTTGGACCAACATGTCCGTCAAGATCTGGGGATGAGTCATTGGAATCAAATGGCCAGCATCTCCGATGATGCTGATGGTCCCGTTCGCCCCAACGAGACCCTTGATCTGCGCACGTTGTGAAGATGATAGAACCTTGCTGCTACCCCCGAAGATGAACTCGAGCTTGCTAGGAGAATCCCGCAAGAGGTCCAGAATGGCTGGAAATGGTTTGGCACGATACGTTGCTGCTTCCTGATATTTCGTTGTCTTCAAAGTCCGGACCGTGCCACCGTCGACGACCTTGTCGTACGTCCCAGTCTCGGCGTAAAGATCGCGCTGTCGGGGATCCCAGTTCGCAAGCCCTGCACTTTTGGAAAAAGCTGCACTGACATGCTCGAGAGAAGGCCATTCGTCGCGTTTCTTTAGCGTGGCTTGCGCGAGGACCAAAACCCCAGAGTCCATCTGGAAAAGGATTGGCTCGATCAAGATGGTTTCTTTGAAGCAGAAAGGTGCCATCGATGCGGCGTGACACATGGTGCCTCCGCCGAATGAATGGCCGATCCCTATCACATTCCGGTCGGCCTTGAAGTGTTGCAATACTGCTAGGATGTCGCGTGAGTGGTCTGGCCAATGGGTCGCCGGCCCGAGGAAACGTTCGTTGGCAACGGCGCTATCGCCGTGATTTGCGGCATCGATTGCCAGCACCCGCTCGATGTGGCCCTGCAGCGCGTCGCTGGTCAAGATGCCGTGGATGATTGCGTGCCAGAGATCCTTGTTGAACGAAGTCCCATGGGTAAATACCAAAGTCCAGGCGTTGGCGTGCGATGCCTGGCAGCGGTACTCGTTCACGGCGAGCTTGAGGTCTTCGTCGACACTGCGCACAGTGTCGGCTCTCCGTGGAGTGAAAGCCTTGATGTAGTGTAGCGTTCTGCGATAATCGCGAGCTGGAAGTCCGTTGGCCTTCATGACGCCGACTTCTGCGTGTGACTTTGATACCAGCACCACTTGCCAGATATTCGCAGAGTCCCACGAGCAGAGTGTTGCTGGAATGTCGCTGAAGCGGAGCCCGGTCGACGCAAAGAGGGGCCTGGTTTTGGTTAGCCGAAATACCCCAGCATTTGTTGCTCCGCGTGTTCAGGAGAAAGTCGACTTCCGGAATGAGGAGACAACCGCCCAAATTATTGCCGTTCCGTCCACTATTTGGGTCAATTCCGGGGTCTGTGCGGAAACCCCGCGACAGGGCACCGTTCCGAGTATCGAGCGGAGCTCATACTCGTGTTGGAGGTATACAGGTAGATCCCACCCTCCTGCCGATTACAGGTAAACATATTCCTTGTCTGTGCATCGACAAATAGTGTGGGGAACTCGATCTTCCTAATCGTGGTAAACTGTTCTTGACCAAGGGGACTCGCTGCTCTGTCTACACTGACTTTGTCCTCTCTCAACATGGCCTCCAACTCCGGTAAGAGCGGTGTCTGTGAGATCGAGTCAATCGACTTCGATGGCCAAACTCCGACTGGTCTTCCGTCTCATCCTGATACGCACCTCTCTGAGAAGGAACAGCGTGAACAGGTTCGTTCTTAGTCTAGGTTGTCTTCCACAGAGTGCCTCGGGCTGACAGACATGTAATCAGGAGCGGCGCCTGATCCGGATAATTGATTTCCAACTGATTCCCTGGCTCTGTCTGCTATACTTGCTGTCCTTCCTCGACCGCACCAACATTGGCAACGCCAAAATTGCCGGGTTGCAGGCAGATCTCAAGATGACGAACAAGCAGTGGAATGCTGCACTCGCAATCTTCTTTGTTTCTTACTCGGTTTTCGAACCCGCAAGCAACGTGCTCCTGAAGAGGCTTCGGCCCAGCAGATACATTCCAGCCATGTAAGATCTTCATGAGATTTCAGGAATTGGTAGCTGACTCGATAGAATGATTCTCTGCGGTGTGGCCTGCACATGTCAGGGGCTGGTCAACAACTTCTCTGGTTTATGCGCCGCCCGCTGGTTTCTCGGCCTTTTCGAAGCCGGCCTCTTTCCAGGTACAGAAAAGCAGCATTGGAGATGACAGTGAGCAGTGACTGACCAGCATCAGGATGCCAATTTTATCTCTCTTGCTGGTACAAACGCTCAGAGTTCGGCATACGTTCCGCCGTATTCTTCAGTGCCGCGGCCATTGCAGGTTCCTTTGGCGGGCTTCTTGCCGCGGCCATTAGCAAGATACACGGTGTTGGTGGTCGTCCTGGCTGGGCGTGGATATTCATTCTTGAAGGTCTGTTGACCATCGTCATTGGTTTTGCCTCCTTCCGGATGGTGCACGACTTCCCACAAGAAGCCACATTTCTGTCGGAAGACGACAAAACCAGGCTCCTCTACCGGCTGAGGAAGGATCTACAAGCCAGTGCAGAGCATGAAAGTTTCAAGTGGACGTATGTCTGGGCCAGTCTCCGAGACCCGTTCACCTACCTGGCCACTCTCATCTACGTTGGTGGCGGAGGTGGACTGTACGCCTTCAGCTTGTTCCTGCCAACGAGTGAGTTGTTCTCCATTTGGGCTTTCTTTCACTGACACAGACATAGTCCTGGCTGAACTAGGCTACAGCACAACCACCGCGCAGTTGATGTCAGTGCCACCTTATGCTGCAGCAGCGCTCCTGACGATTGCCATTGGTTGGATCGGCGACAAGACCAGAAGGAGAGGCTATTGCGGTGTCGCAGTGGCATCGCTTGCAATCATAGGATTCAGCCTGCTGCTCAGCGACGTAAAAACCCCGGTAAAGTACGCAGCAACATTCCTTGCCGCGATGGGTATATACCCGATAATTCCGAACTCGGTCAGCTGGCTGGCAAACAATACAGAAGGTATGTACAAGAGGGGGTTCACTCTGGGATTTGCAATGTGCTTTGCAAACATTCAAGGCGTTGCGGTGAGCAACGTTTACCGTGGCATGGACGCCCCCCGCTTCATTCTGGGTCATTCCATGGTCATGGGCTACGTCTGCTTGGGCACCTTTGCTGGTTCCGCCCTGTACTACATTCTGCTACGTCGAGAGAACAATTTGCGAAAGGCTGGAGCTCGCAATCATCTGATAGAAGGGAAACAAGACAGCGAAATCAGGTTGATGGGAGACAAAAAGTAAGTCCTACCCCATTCATCGTGTGCGATCGAGTTTGCTTGCTAAAATCCACGGTAGCCCGAACTTCCGTTACACGATCTGAAGGCCAGACGACGTGAGTTGAACAAGGTTAATTGGCACCGAACTGAAAATTGGTGAAAAGGACATCTTGCTTAGGTGTTCCCGCTACGTAATCATAGGTGTCCCATGAACCTCTGCAAGCACAAATGAAGTGTCATGCTCTAGACTTTGCCCTTGGCTACTACTTTATATCTAAGTGATTTGATCCGCCCAATCAACTGTAGTCCTTTGTGATTCCCACCCGTGTTCGGTGGTATGGCAAGCCTGCCGATACCATTACCAGGGTGAACGTCATGGATACTATCAGTTGACATTGACGTCAAGCGTTGATGTACAAAAGTGGATGACGCATTTCTGATTGAACTTTGTCGATTAAGTGAGTGCCTATTCACAATTTCCCGCTCTCGATCCAACCGCAACGACACGGAGCTTTCTGCGCTTCTCTCTTGCTGCGGACCAAGCCGCGCTGGACTGCTCAATCGGGATCTCGGCTATCGAAGCCCGAAACCTCAGAGTTTTGGTCGGTTGGGCTGAACATCAGGGCTTACCAGAATCTTGATATGTTCGTCCTTGCTCTGGAGAAGGCGTTCAAGGCCTTGGCTCGTCGCCTCTGCCAGTGAGATTCTTCCTGTGATCATACTCTCCGGGCGCTCGATTCTCCCTGTAGACGGTCAGCACCTGCCGTCGAGGCAGTATTAGATCCGAGACGGTGAACTTACCGGATGCAATAGCGTCAATGACTTCTTGAAACTCTGCCCTTGTGTAGAGACTTGACGTGAGGTATTGAATGGATTTTCGATTGAATGAGCTAATGTCCAAAACAACGGGCTTGTCGAAGAGTGCCAGGTTAACGATGGTGCCACGACCGCGAACCGAGGCGAAGGCAACGTTGATGGAGGCCTGAACACCAGCAGCGTCAAACACAACGTGTGGGCCTCTGCCGTCGCTAGAATTTTGGCGTGAGAGAGCGACCACGTCTTGATCCGGTTGCGAGATCACTTGGTGTGCTCCGGCCTTCAACGCATGACGGCTACGTCCCTGTGATACTTCCGACACGATGATGTTGCCAACCCCAATGGCTTTGAGGCACATAACTGTGGCAATGCCGATAGGACCTGCGATCATTAGCCAAGCTTGCTCTGTTGGACGACGGTTCCTCGTCCTACCTGCGCCTACAACCAGTGCGGAATCTGACGGAGCAAGACGAGCGAGTTTGATACCATGCCATGCCACGGCCAGAGGCTCGACCAAAGCAGCCACATCCAGTGGCACACTGTCGGGTACCTTGAAGAGCTGCTTTCTGTCCACGCAGATGTATTCGGCGAACCCTCCGCCATAGCCACTGTAACCTAAAAAGCCCCATTTGTCGCAGAGCCCAAACAGTTCTTCCTGACAATAATGACAATCTCCATCTCCAATCACGGGAAAGATGACGACCTTTTGGCCGATTTCAAGATCGCACACCTCAGGACTCAACTCAATAACTCTCCCTGAAAATTCGTGGCCTGTCAAAATGCATGAGTGACATGATCAAAGCCGACGGTCAATATGCAATTACCAAGTATAGTAGGGACACTCTCGCCTGTCAGGGGATGAGGCTCGGAGGGAGTTGTTCTTGGTCCAAACAGGTACTCGTGGAAATGTGCTACGTGTGTCAGGCCATCCCTGAAGTTCTGTTTGTTGGCTGGTGCTGGACTTATCTGAACCACAAATCCCTCCCCAAACATTCTTGACCTTAACCCAACCAGGACGCAATTCTGGCTGTGGGATCTCATCAAGCCTGACATCTCGACGTCCATGAAACCGCAGCGCCCGCATACATGGTTTCGCGGGACTCTTCTCCTCGAAAACCATGTTCAGTGGTGTGGACGGTAAGTGACACTGTAAGTATGCAAACTTTGCGCAGTGATGGTCTTCTGAACTTCTTTGGTGTTCAAGTGAGTAATCTTGTCTGTGCAGATAGAATGCGCAGGGGGAGTCAGAAGTTGTATCCCCAGGTTCGGTGGTCGAAAGGGCAAGATGGCTCGGACTGTTTCCGACCTGTTGTCTTCTACGACGTGGCGAGCTTTGTCGGCAAGGCCGGGGCCCCCGGCACTCACTTTGTCTGCCACACTGCGTCCAGTGCGGAACGGGGAAGTCTAATTGTGAAGTTCACCAGTCACAGCTTGATCTTCGACTTCGGGAGATGTGGGGACGCCCCGGACGGCTTTGCGTCTACTGGATCGGTCACAGAACTTAATCATGCAATGGATAGAAGCAGGCTCAACGGGCCGTTGTACCCACTGCCCAGCTTAGAGTGGGAGGAATCCGTCGGTCAGCGAGAAAGCGGCAAGACAGCCGTGCAAAGAGCACACCCTGCAACAACGCCATTGGAGGGACAAGACTTCTCTATGACCTTTGTCATCGCCTCATTGTCTACTAGATCTGGTGGGTGAAAGCTCTTGGAAATGAACAGCCTCCCTGAAATTTGGTGTCTGTACACCGAATATCACTAATTCTAGACAACCTTCTGTCCAGTCCCGTCTCTTCTTTTGAGGCACACCTCGATCCCAGATTGCGTGACGATCCACGAGTTTCTCAGCTTCCACTCCTTCGCAGGATCCGCCAGACGCATATCGTAACGAATCAACAGGGCTGGCACGATCTTATTCAACTCCAGCATTGCAATGTGCCGGCCCAAGCACGTTCTCTTTCCTGCTCCAAAAGAGAACAGGTGCGCGTCCATTCGCCTCAGCTGAGCTGTATCAGCATCAATCCACCTTTGTGGGTTCCAAACCTCCGCATCGCGACCGAAAATTCTCGGGTCGCGATGTAGTACCCAGGCATTGATACCCACAATAGTACCTGGAGGCAGAAAAGTCTTTGACTCGTCCGGTAGAACGAGCCCGGCGGATGAGACGACGCGTTCCAAGGGCAAGCTGATAGCTGGGTGAAATCTCAATGCTTCTTTAATCACAGCTTGGAGGTAGGGTAGCTTTTGAGCTTCCGAAAATGTAGGAAATGGACTGGACATGGTCCCCTGCTTCACAGCGTTCAAAAGCTCGGATGTTGCGACGTCGAGCGTCGAGTGATTCCTCAAAAGATGGTAGAACAGACCACGCAATGTCGTAGTGACCGTATCTGCGCCGGCGTTGATATTAAGCTTGAAAGGCAGGATGTGTCAGTCACAACTGAGCATTGGCATACAGTCAAGGGACACGGGATAACTCACAAACAAATACGCAAGCACCTGCTTGTCATCAACCACGTCCGGATGGGTATCCTTGCCTTGTAAGAACCGAGACAGAAAGTCTCTCTCCGCGAGCTCAGTTGAGCTGACAGCCTTCAGGCGGAGCTCTGGGTCGGTTACCTCTACGTCGCCTTTTTCTGCTTTGCTGTCCGGGTTCAGGCGCTCCTGCAAGCGACGGGCGCCGAATTTGACGATTGGCGATGGCATCTGTTTGGCAAAGAACTTTAGGTACAAGGGGTTCTTGAAAGTCACCAGGTCTACCCAGGGCATCTGGCCTAGCACCGAGTTCCGATCGAAGTTTTGAGCGATAGAGGCAATGACCCCTTCCACGTCTCGGCCATGCTTCACGAAGCCGAGACGTCGTGAAAAGGTCAACTCTCCAATGACATCGAAGGAGAAGTACTGAATCCAGGTGCCAAAATCTAGTGGCTGGGCCTCTGGCCGTGCAGCGATGCTGTCAAGGCGAGTGAAAAAGGCAGCGGTGGTGGAATCGATGGACGGCTCAAATTCGACGAGTTTGGAGAGCTGGTAGGCCGGGGCAATAGGTCGCTTGACTTTTGCATGCAGTGCCTCGTCCTGCATGAAGACGGGAGACGGAACCCTCTTCCCATTGATAATGTTCTGCCAGGGACTGTAGAAGTGAGACTGTCGCCAGAGGGGGTAAGGTTAGATATGCATGGCAGCCACCCGCTAGTTAGGTTACTGACCTTGCTGAAACCTTTCCCGATGCCGTAGATAGATTCAATGGCGTCCGGCATGGATATGCTCACGTAGTTGGGTCCCAGTCGGACCACATCACCGTGCTTTTTGTGCAGGCGCAGGTTTGTGTCATGGTGATGACGTTTCCAAACGTCCAGGAAGCGCCACAGATCAGTGAATGCTGCCACCGTAGGGCCGGGTATATGCTTGAGGCGGCGGTAAGATTTTGCGCAGGACACCGCCACGAGCAGAACTGCCAGCACCCCAAGGAGGAGATGATAAGGCACGGTCATCAGACGGTCAAGCATCATGATCACGACGGCGAGAGTCCGACCTGTTCTGGCGACCAGCGGGGGAAGGAGGCAGATGGCTCTGGACCTTTTAATTGTCACGAGACATGCACTGGGAAGGCTATCGGTAGAGCACTGGGTGGAATTGCAACTTCGTGCAGGTTTTCATACTGAAAAGATGGTGGATGCATACTATGTATCTAGGCGGGACCTCTCCATCCACCTCAATTGTCAGCTGTGCGGCAGCCTCAACATTGAGTATGCATCCTGAAGGAGACCCCGTACCCCTCTACTTTACAAAGTTCAGACGTGTGTCGGTATAGGTCCGAAGCTCGGGTTTCCGATCGTCCTGATCCGTGGCACCAGCAGTTCATGGCTGATTTGCGGATCATTTCGCCGTCACCGTTAGGTGCTAATGCACAGTATGTAATGTTCGTCGGTCATGGGTTTCGTGGGGGTTTGCCACGGGTAAGAGGCACTGGTTCCCTCTCGCTTCTAGAATTCGGTGACAATCCGTCCGGACATACTACTGGCGCTGCATGACACCTGATGCTCAAGACTTGTGAGGAGAACTTGTCCCTCCGGTGTATTACCGCTCCCGTTGTCAACAAATTCTATCCAGGCGTACCCGAAACCAACCGAATCGCAATTCTCTCTGACACATGTAGGTTGGTAAAGGCCCATCCCCTGCTGGCTTTTGAAGGCTGCCCCCCCACAGTTTTGTTAACACCGGCTTCTCTGCCCAGAACCGTCCATAGGAGCTTACTAGACTTCGGTGTGACGAACTTGAACCTCTCAACAGGAGCAACTTGCCGTTGACGAAAGCATGCTCGCCAACGGGCTTGACGACGTACTGCCGTACTCCCCGCGATGGAGCCTGGAAAATATTGTCTGTACACTGCCATCAACCAACTTCTCGACAAACGTCGACTATGAAGCCATCGCCGAGCCTATTGTCAACGCCTTGGAACATCTCAGTGCTGACCAGCTAGCAGCTGAAGCGATCTGGCGCGACCTTTTTGCCCTCACTGGCACCACTCGGACCATATATAAACCTGGTTCCATACTGAAGGCGTGGTCTGAAACCAGGCATCAGCGTCTGGGACAAGGGTTCAGACTTGTACCTACATCAAGCAAGGAGGTTCGTCTGCCAGGCGGCTATGGGTGGGTGCAGGTTGCGTTCACTTTCGAGATGAGGAGCGCACCCGAGTCCACGGGATACGGCTTCCTGTCTCTCGTACAGGAAGATGGAAAATGGAAGATCTGGATCTTACGCACCCTGTTGAAACAACTCAAAGGCCACGGTAATGTCGACGCTCTGATGCCAGCTCAGGGTGCTTGCGAGACTTCCACGAGGTTGAGCATGCCATCTCACCAGCTACATGCAAACCCTGCCACGACTCTCAATGGGCATCACCTTGCTGTAGACTCTGCTGGAGAGCATTTCGATGTCGTTATAGTGGGCGCCGGACAATCAGGTCTGAGCTGCGCCGGACGACTCGAATGCTTGGGCGTCCGTTACGTTGTCTTGGAGCAAAACGCGGAGGTCGGGGACAATTGGAAGATGCGCTACGAATCCGCAAGACTGCATACGATTCGCGAATACAGTCAGCTGCCCTTTGACCGCACATTTTCAGACCCATACCCAGAGTTCTTGGGTAAAGACGATCTCGTAAAGGGGTACAAGGAGTGGGTCAGCAAGTTCGGCATTGACAAGAACATACGCTTCTCTACGACTCTCGAGTCCGGGACGTGGAACGAAGCCGGGAACTTGTACAGTCTGCAAGTTCGGCAAGATGGAAAGCTGAAGACACTGTCTTCTCGCCACGTCATCCTTGCAATCGGTCCGGGTGGCCAGATTCCAATGCAACCGAAGTTACCAGGGGCCAATAAGTTTTCAGGCCTCATTTTACACTCTGCTAACTATACATCCGCCACATCATGGAAAGGTAAATCAGGCATTGTAGTCGGCACGGCCAATACTGCACATGATGTGGCAGAGGACATGGTGCTGGCTGGGCTGTCTTCGGTTACAATGTTTCAACGAGGCAAGACATATGTTCTGCCAGCGGAGTACTTGGCCACGGTAGCCGGTCGTTCGTATCGAAAAGATGTCGCAACTTCTGACGCAGATCAAGAGGCTCAAAGCCTCCCCAACGTGGTGAGTAGACTTTTATTTGACAAGAGCCTCAATGCCCAAGCTGCTCTTCAGCCCGAAAGATTCGACGCTCTAGAGAGAGCGGGTTTTCAAGTCCAGCGGTACGGAGACTTGCTGTGGCATATAAACGAGAGGTTTGGTGGCCATTATATCGACGTTGGCTGCTCGGAAAGAATCAGTCGAGGAGAAGTGAGTGCCGACCTTCCGTCAAAAGGGCACCTGCTGACAATTTGTGCCGCAGATCAAGATGAAGTCCGGAGTTAGTCTGACACAGTTTGCCAACGATGGATTGGGATTCAGCGATGGTTCCGTTGTGCCAGCCGATGTGATCATCTTCTGCACCGGGTTCTTGGGTGACATGCGCAGTGAAGTGGCGCGGCTTTTCGGCCAGCAAGTCGCAGATCGGACAAGAGGGTTCTGGGGTCTAGACGTAGAAGGCGAGTTCAATGGCGCTTTCAGACCTTCTGGACGTAAGTTGACCCTGTGCAACACTCCATTCCGCCCTCCACGTCGTCTGTGCCCGAGCGTACTAAAACTTGTGCCCCTGCTGTCTTGCTGAGGGCTCGAATTACTGCTAACCAGTGTATGATCTGCGCAGAACCGGGCATGTGGCTCATAGGCGGAACTATCGCCCATTCTCGATATTTCTCACGATTTATAGCACTGCAGATCAAAGCCGACCTTCTGGGGATGCCGCTCACCGTCTACGAAGGGGAGCAGAGGTCTGCTCAGGAGAAAATGACAGTCATCAGCAACGGCAACCATGAAGCATCACAGTAAAGTCAATCATTGTACTCACACTTTGCACCGAGAAGCTTGGCTATAGGACGGTCCTTTGTGCAATGAGATGGGCAATTCGTCGTTCATGTAGACCAAACTGAACTGAGGAACACTTTCGCCATCACCGAAGCATCTACCAAAGTATTCGATAAGTATATAGACAAATTTACGCTTGTAGTGGTCAAAGATCGTTTACAGGGTGCAAGTGATGGTTCTGGACGAATTAGCGGGCATTGAGGACATTGATTGTCTACTTGGTCATCTCTGACTATGCATGCTCTCTCTGAGGTCGTTGATGTACGCCATTGCATTCTCTTGAACTTTTCAATATAACGCAGATCATAAAGCTTTGCAAACCCAGATTCGCCCACTGACATGGCCCCATTTTGTGAAAGGAGCAACGAAGGAAATTCTCCTCGTCTCGACTAGGAGCTACAACGTCAACCGGGAATCTCCTTTGCACGGACACGAAATAGATAGGTCTCCATGTGTCGAGCCCAACACGCCTCCTCCATCATGATGAAATAAGTATTGCGAGAAAAAACGACTACCCCTGCTTGTTTATCAGCTTTACATTGCAGAATCTATCCAATAGCGGGGCCTCCCAGTCCGATTCCAGCCACAGAGACAGAAAAACATCTGCGACGTGCTGCAGTCTCCCGGAACCGGGCACTCTTTCACATTTTTGAACCAAATTTCCGGTTGTATGCTTTCTCTGCGTGTCGCGTGGCGTCAAAGCCATACAGATAATCCTGAAACAAGGTGTTTCCCATGTAGTTGGGACTTCCAGCGTAGTCCCCTACCCCAAAAACCTCGCTTCGCATGTCGAGCATGGGGCCTTCACCCATGTGGATGAAAAAACGATTTGTCCACGAGCCACGCTGAATAGCGTGGACTCGGTCTACGCGAAGCTCGTAGAAGAACTGAAGCAGCTGAGGCAGGTCGCTGGGCGATGTGACGTGCGACAACAGCACTCCAAGAGTCGCAGCGTCTTCAATCGCCATGGCAGCACCCTGAGCAAGGTACGGGAGAGTTGCGTGGGCCGCATCACCGATGAGCACAAAGCGCCCGGATGGATGCACCCAATCTTCGATGGGCGGCAAATCAATCAAACGCCAGCGCTCGACGTTTTCGGGTAGAAAGGAGAGAAGATCTTGGACCCTGTGGCACACTCACGTTACTCACCAAACTTTGACAAACCGACCTTTGCTTACATCGGGCTCCAGCCACTGAATGCGTGGCGCACCTCGCTGGCAGTTGATGGTGCTTTGAAGCCGACCATTGTTCTGTCATCTGGGATCACCATGAGCAGATTGAAAGACCTTTGCTTCTGGATGTTGTATCTGTCGCCAGCTTAGTCAAGTCTGTGCAGTCTCGAGGAACTATCACTCACCCGATGATGTGATGGTCGGGTCCCAGGAACTGTTCGAAGCCCGGGCGTTCTGAAAGAGGCCGCAGTCGCGGATTCGCGAGCAACTTCTCAGCTGGGATTACAACGCGGAAGCAGGTATCCCCAGTTTCGTGCGGGTCAACTTTTCTGCCCATGGCCTGCCGGGCGAGACTTTTGACGCCATCTGCGGCGATCAAGAGGTCGCCTTGGACCACTTCTCCCGAGGCAAGCTTGACCGAAGACTCTTCTATCGCGTATGCAAGGACCTCACAGCCTTTCCGAACTTGGACCCCAAGTGCTAAGGCAGCCTGTAACAGTATCTCGTGGTAGTCTGGCCGAAATATCTGCCAATACGGTGCACCGAACCTTGCAGGCCAGTTCGTCATGTCGGTGAAGCCTTGGGTTGTCTCCGTCTTCCAATCTCGATAATTTATTCGAGATGGTCGTGAACACACTTTGTCCATCTGATCGAAGAGACCCCAGCGCACCAGCTCTCTCGCAGAGTTGGGAGGAACCTGCACCCCGGCTCCGATCTTGTCACCAAGCCGAAAGTCAGCATCCGAATGGTGGTAAAGCTGGGAAACCGCAGTAGAGGGCGACCAACCTCTACAAAATCCGGGGCTTGCTCGAGTACGACCACTTTGTGGCCTGCCCGGGCTAAACAGATAGCAGTCCCCAGTCCGCCCATGCCCGCTCCGACGATGACTACTCTCAAGGAGCAGCCGGCATCCATTTTGACTTCGTGCTTCTTCAACTGTGGTCCTCGAATTATTTCGATGGTGGGAGATCTTGTTGGGGGATTTGCGCTAGACCTGAAGGAACGAGCAGATTGGTGTATCTTTGTCTGCTGGATTGCTGCACTATTGCAAGACTTGGGAGATGTTCCGCGAGATCGAGATGTGGCTATGGCGGGTTAGTGGTCGCGAATCGTGCCTCAAAAGGGAGCCGGAACGGGCGAGCAGCGTTCGGAAACGTTGCTTGCTCTCCGCTTCCAATCCGAGCAGCCAGCCAGTGAGACGCTTCCAGAAGCACAGGTTCCGGCCTTGAGCAGGGGGCAGCCATTCTGCTGTCTGGAAAGCCTGGGCCCCGACGTGCCGTGGCCGGGCAGTGGCAACATCTGCCAAAGTTACTCCAGTGGAGCATCTGTACACTCGAGATTGTTGTTTCAATCCGCAAGATGCGACGATTTTCATGTTTGTTGCGGGTCGGATTTCGGACCAGTCGATCGCGCCACACGCTATTGCCCAAAGCGTCCGGCACTACACAAGCCGGGATGCACCACATCTGTAGCCTGCAGCAGAGCCAATGAAGTGCAGCAGCACACTTACGGCAGTCGAAGAGCAGAGACGGAAGCTGCGAAGCCCATCGCTTGTGGTGGGGTCGGTGGAAGATGTCCGGGGAAGGAGGGAGGGGCCGTGCTTGGAAAAACTGGGAACAATTCTAGGATTTGGCAGTGGGGGCCGTCAGCGGGTGCAGAGAGAGCTCGTTAACCGGGTGTGGCTGCAGCATTCGGGAGGAGGCATTCCTTCAGGATGGCGCTCTCGCTCGCAGGCGCACGGATTCCGGAATGGCGGGATTTCGGCGGTGGAGAATGGTCCCGAGACAGCACGAGATCTTGCACACCTGAGGAGAATACTCAGTTCCGGCATCCAGACAGAAAAACCAATATCATCAATGACGCGAATAGCCTTTCCCCCAGGCAACACACCTGACTGTGTGTACAGCTTGCAAACATGGCTGCATCCGCAATGACATACCCGCAGGGTCTTTTCATCAACAATGAGGTAGGTGCATGGTGTCGCTCGAGCTTCCCAACCTGCAACCAGAGCAAGGCTCCTTCCTACACTGGTTGGTCTGAATTACAGAGCGCTCGTGGAAGGCCCGCCAAGAGTCCCACACCTCGTTTGCCAGTTCCGCTGCGTGAAAGGAGCCTGTCTAGTCCTCACCAACTTTGGCGCTGACACACCTTTAGTACAGAACAGCAGCAAGCTCCACGAAGCTCACTTTGAGGAACCCGTGGGATGACTCTGTGATAGCTGCGGATGTCCAGGTTGCCGGTAAGGAGGATGTGGACTTGGCCGTCGAAGAAGCTACGAAAGCTTTCAAAGGACCATGGAGAAAATACACTGGGCAGCAAAGAGCAGGGTGTCTGTTGAAGTTTGCAGATCTCGTCGAGAAGCATGCAGACCGCTTGTCCCAATTGGAATCCCTCCCTACTGGCAGACCGATCTCTTTCGTCACCCACTTTGATGTCCCACACATGGCTCAAGTTTACAGATGTGAACGGACCCTTCCAAACTGTGGCAGATCATCAACTGACTATTTCAGACTACGCTGGATGGGCAGACAAGATCGCCGGCAAGACGTTCAGCGAAGAGAACGGTACCTACAAGATCATTCGACAGGAACCAGTCGGTATTTGTGCGGGCATCGCGTCTTGGAATTGCACGTTTCTGTACGTCGCCTGGAAGATGGCGCCGGCTCTGGCAGCCGGATGCACCGTGTGTAGAATCCCGTCGCCAGTTTCACGACTTGGACACTTACGATATGTGATAGTTCATCTTCAAAAGTTCCGAGAAATCCCCCTTTGGAGCGCTCGCTCTTGGGTCGCTCTACGCCGAGGCCGGATTCCCACCTGGGGTTGTGCAGTTTGTCACCGGAGGAAGCGAAACCGGTGCGATGCTGGCCTCCCACATGAACATTGCCAAGATCAGCTTCACGGGCTCGGTGGCAGGAGGCCGAGCTGTGCAGGATCTGGCGACTAAGAGCAACCTTAAGCGCGTGACACTTGAACTGGGCGGAAAGTCGGCGGCTATCATATTCAAAGACGCTCCGCTCGAGGTGGCTGCTCAGGGGTACGTACCGCCCTCTTCTAAGATGACACTTCGCACCGTTCCTTACTCAACACAGCGTCGGGGTCGGTTTTCTCGCCAACTCTGGCCAGATTTGCGTCGGTGAGTGGATGATCACAGAGGGTGGCAAAGTTCCATGCTGATTTCCACAGCTGCTTCGCGAGTCCTCGTCCAAGAAGACATCGCCGAAGACTTTTGCCAGAAGATCAAGGCGCACTTCGAAGTGTCCGGTGCTGCAATGGGTGCCGACCCGGCCTTGCCAACGACGGCGCATGGACCGGTCGTGGACAAGTTGCAATTCGACCGCATCATGTCGTACATCGAGAAGGGGAAGACGAGTGCGAAGCTGCTGACGGGAGGATCCCGGATCGGAGAACGTGGTTGCTTTGTTGAACCCACGATCTTTGTCGACCCCGAACCCGGAAGTGCGGTGTACGAAGAGGAAATATTTGGCCCGGTACTGGTGGTCAAGACTTTCAAGACCGAAGAAGAGGCAATCCAGCTCGCAAACGGGACAATTTACGGTCTCGCCGGTATGCTGAATCATCAGTTTTGGTGGAGGACAAGGCTAACTCAATGATAGCAAATGTGTATACGACGGATCTGAATCAAGCCTTGCGCGTCACCAGCGCGCTCGAAGGAGGGATCATATCTGTCAATTCTCCTTTGCATCCGGAGATACAGGCACCCTTCGGGGGGGTCAAACAGAGCGGATACGGCAGAGAGCTCGGGGAGGAGGGCTTAAAAGCGTACCTAGAAACGAAGAGCATTCACATCAAGTGAGTAGTAGCTGATCTTGTCTTACCTGATCTCCTGGCCATAGTCTCTAACACCATCTTCCAGCATGGACCTTCCGCCGAAGTTGTGAAATTAACGGAGAGAGATCGACGAACAGTGAAGCCGAGCTGCTTCGCAGATGTGATCTGGAAGGAACTGTGGCCTTGGGGATGGACATGTGGGCCCAGTCCAAATCTGCCACAATTGCTTGCGGCACCACCTCTCACAAAACGTGACAAAATGGGAAGATGCAGCATCATTGCAGGCAAGTTCTAGTTTTGCATAACGGCGACGATAGACAGACGAAGCGTGTCTAAGTAGCCCGTGGCAAATTGAATACAGATGTCGTGTATGGAGGTGCAACACCCGGAGCCGTTGCATACGCTCAGACTGGAAGGCCAGCTTGGCCATAATGACAGAATTGCTGGCATTGCCATAGGTCGTGATTCTGCAGGCTTGTGTATCGTTCGTGAGATTTGAAAGCCTGCGAACGCCTAACGTGCTAGTACGCTAGGTGCATCCGATGTGGGCATGGTAGGGGCGCCGTCAGCTTCCGAGGTGGCTCTTTAGGCGTCATTGCCAAGGACAACGGCCTCCAAGCAGACTAGCTAACTAACCCCGTGCAGCGTTTCACCGAACTGCCGCTAGGCGTTGTGGCCGGCGAGTAGCTTTCGGGGCACGCCTCCGTACCTTACGCCGCATTGTGATTCGTATCTAGGCCAACCTCGGGCAACATCGCTCATCTCTCCGAAGGTTCCGGCTCCGCCCGATTGGGACTAGCGTAGATTCACCGGTATTATTTCCTAATCGGGACTAGCGGTATGTGCAGTTAGATTTTCGGGCCTGTGCAACTAGCCAGTCTCCCCAAAGAGCATTGCCTTTGGCAGGCATCAGAGAGGTGTGAGCACATTCGCGCGCTCGGACAGCTCTCGCGAAGTTAGACCCGCTCGCACGGGCACTCGCTCCGCTTAGAGGCGGCCTCCAACTTTTTACCCCGCAAGTCGCCGCAGTTGCTCGGTCTCGACCTGGGGCCGTGGTATCCGGCGCCTATCTTCTTCCCTCTGCCCCTGTTTTGCTTCGGCTGCCCTCTTTGATTCCATCCTTCACTTCTCCTTCACTTTTTGCGACCACGCTCGAGCTTTCCCAGAACCTCCAGAGTCGGCGGACACGATGAGCACCCGGCAAGGACCAGCAACGGTGTCGTCGTCAGCCAATTCGGAGTCGACGCCACCGCGCCGCACACAACACAAGGACAGAGATCCACCAGCCAAACGACAGAAGAGGGGCAAGTACGTGCTGAGAGCTTGGTGCGTTGCATGGTATCCGCGTGCGTAACTTCTGGGTTGACAGTCGTGCTAGTGCTCAATGCCAAAAGCGAAAAGTAAAGGTACGTACCTCTCCATGCGCGTCGTCGACGATAGCCGGCCGACCTTGGCAGTGCGAAGGGGGCACTCCATGTGCACAATGCATCGTTCACTCGCGTGACTGTGTCAGCGGAAGACGCGAGCCTCCTCCTCCTGCGCGCGGCAGAGATGTGGGCGCGACGGAGTCCGTGACCAAGATTCTTTCCACCCAGCCCTCCCGACGGTATGAGGCATGATCATTTTCACGTAACAACCGTCTGATGTGAGCAGTGTTACCACCCACGATCTACTGAGGCGCATCATCAGTGTTGAGCAACAAGTCAGAGCCGTCGTGGTTACAGATTCGGGGAAGTTATGTACCGACGATCGATATGGAAGTCCTCAATGCTCTGTCGATTCAGCCATGACAGAAGATGAATCACCGGCCATGACGTCCATCGAGCCAGAGCTAACGCAGCCCGCGTTCGTCGGTGAAACATCGATGATCCACGCCTTGAGACAAACAGAAGCCAGACTAGACAGCCTGGCTGCTTACCGTGAGGGCAGTCTAGACACCAACATAAGCGCACTTACTCCAACGCCCTCAAGCGACGTGACTGCGACTGTCGAAAAGAGGTCGCGAGGTTGGCTGCGGGCTATTTTGCGGTGTCATGGAATCGCACGCGAGATCAGCCAGCATTACGCACTTCTGCGCAGCTTCTTTGACGAGGTCCATGTCCTGTACCCCTTCTTGCATCCTCCGGCCGTCTGGCAGACCTACGAATTTCTCTCGCGACGATCACTCAATGTGTCAGCCGACGACCTGGCGAAGAATGGAGAGAGCAGAACCTCACTCGCCATTTTGTTCCTCGGCCTCGCAGTGGGCCGCTGTACCAGCTCTTCCCGCGTCGACGACGCCGACGGCACTCACTCTGCCGGGTGGAGCTTCTTCAACGTCTCGATGTACTTACTGCGCCAACCCCTGAATCTGACAGAAGACTGCGCCATCTCAGTGCAGGGACTGCAGGCTCTTATGATGATGGTTAGTGCACCGGCAGGTAGCCGCGAATGCCAAGTCCCGCGTGCTAACGGCTCAGGTCGTATATCTGTTTAGACTAGATGCCAATGAAAGGGCAGAGCGAATCCTTGGCTACGCAATCTCTTCAGCGCACATTCTCGGCCTCCATCGACGCATGACCTACACACCGATGCGGCTGGTCGAAGCTGAGTCGTGCGTACGCGCCTGGTGGTGCCTTTATGTCCTGGATCGTCGCATGAGCCTTGAGACAGGCCGGCCGTTCGTGATCCAGGATGCAAACGTCGATACCAGGTATCCGCTCGCACTGAGCGATGCCTGGTTGGAAGAGCATAAATTTGAGCATCAGATGACCGACGACCTGGAGGCGGAAGCTCAATTGGACGTGGCTCGTTCGGGCGTCAATGCAATCCCCTATTTTATCGCCATGATATCTTACTCAAAAATCGTCGGCAACGTTTGGACGGCGGTCAATAGCCCTGAACAGTCTTCGTGCGGCACCAACACGATGGCCCGCAACTACATCGACCTGTTGCTCGAGAATTTCACTCGCAGCCTTCCGCCGAGCTTGAGCTGGCCCCTCTCGCCAATCTCGGAAGACCAGCTCACCAATCTTGAGTGGTGGCAGATCAAACAACGTGTCCTCATCCGACTTGTAAGGAAATCTGAAGGTGCACAAATCGTTTTCAGGCTAATCTTTTGTCTTTGTAGCGCTGCATCTTCCTCAAAATACTCATCAGACGACCAAGAGCGCAAGAAAGTTCATCGCTACCTGAGATCGAACGTGCTCAGCTAGCCGCTTCAATCATCGAAATCTTTGACTCAATACCGGCGCACTTTCCCAAATTCTTGTTTCCTTTCACTCATTTCATAATGGCTGCCACGATGGTGCTCTTCGGCATCGTAGTGAAATCGCCAGAGCTCCAAGCCCAACACTGCAACTCAATACTTTCTGCGACGCATACACTCGTTCTGTGCTGCCGCAAATCATGGGTCAGCGGCAAGACCATTCGAACAATCAGCAGACTGAATTTCATGGTACAAAGGACTCTGGTTGATCTAACGGATCGAGCCCCACACCAAAAGCAAGCCGGCAACGCGGCCGGCGCGCCCGCCGAAGCCAGAACGACCTCTGAAACACAGCTCGTCGTGAATGCGAACCTTTCTACGTCTCAATCTGCTCTACCTGTGGCCACTGCTCCAAGAATCCGTGGACAGTCCCAAGAGAGTCCGGGCAGCGCATCCCTAAGCGCTGGCACTCATCCCCTCGAACGTCACACTTCTGCAGGTAGCAGCGTTCGCATGATGGACCCCGTGCGGCCAGATCGCAGACCGATGCTAGCGGACGGAGCGGACAGATTGCCGCCTGCTTGGCCGGTCGCGCCGAACGCTCCCGTCAGTCATGTGGCAGCATCGTCACCCCGACATGATGTACAGCCCGCGCAGGTGTCTGGGCCTGGACCGGCGGAGAATTGTGACTCGACCGTCAGCGACGCTTTGCCTTGGCCAATGTCGACCTCCACAGTGGATGATCTGCCCAGCTGGGCAATGACCGACTTCGAGTTCGAGCAGGAGTTTCAGTTTGTGGGTCCGGTCGGTGCGTTCAATTTCATGGGCTCCAATCTATAAGCTCCTCATGGAAACCTCGACCGACCGTTCGGAGTGATGGACTTTGCCTATGCAGAACCCTGATTTCCTGCCGAAGATGTTGTGGACTCGACTGGATTCATCACGTACACTTGCGGACCTTTTGATCTAGTTGTCTATAATTCCACAACTACTTAATCCTCCTGCCTCACATGATCGATCCCCGAGTGCCTCCGTCCTTAGAAGATGACATGGAGGCCTCCTAATCGGAGGGTGAGCCTCGTAGATGGTCTATGCCGGGAGGTTTTCTTTACATAGCCAATCCCATACCGCACAAAAATCTCCGTGCACCCACGCCCCCCTTTCCCTTTGCCAGGCCTGTTCTTTGCCGTTCCTTTAGAGTTTGCTGGCACTTCCGCCGGTCTTGACTGCTTTCGCCGTCGTCTTCGCCGCATTTGCCGGGAGCAAGCGCCGCAGGATCTTTCCGGCAGGATTTCTCGGAATCTGTGACACGATGTACACCCCTCCCCGCAACCTCTTGTATCCGGCCACACGAGAGTCAACGTACTTTCGAACATCGGCGATCAGGTCTTGCTGGGCTTTTGCTCCCACCACTCCGGTCGTGATGTAAGCGACCGGGTACTCGGTGCCCTCGGCGACGACTTCGAGTCCACAGACTGCGGCGTCGCTGACCGCTGTGTGGGTCAGGATGATGGCTTCAAGTTCAGCTGGCGCCACTTGGTTCCCCTTCACCTTGATCATCTCTTTTGCCCGGTCCAGCAGGTAGAGGAAGCCGGCGCGATCCCGGTAGCCGATGTCCCCGGTCTTCAGATACCCATTGACAAAGGCTCCGTTGACGTCCCGATGTTCCGACGTTGTGTATCCCTGCATGATGTTCGGACCAGTGATCCAGAATTCACCTGGTTCGCCTTCAGCGCAGTCATTGCCCTCTTCGTCGACGATTCTCAACGCCATCCCGTAGTGTAGTTTGCCAACTGTGTTCTGAACGTTCACTTCACCTTCCCGCTGGCATGCCACAGCTGGGCTTGCCTCGGTCATGCCGTACCATTGGGTGACGGCACAGCCCATAAGTTCAGACAGTTTATCGGCGATTTCTTGCTTGAGCGGGGCTGCTGCGTTAATCAGTGCTTTGATGGAGGAATAGTCACCCTTTCGCGCGAGCGGGTCACTTAGAAACTGCAGCGCTAGCGGAGGAACAATGTTGAGATGTGTGACTGGTTCGCGATCAGTGCTGCTGGTTCCAAGAAGATTAAGAGCCGCACTTACTTCGATCTCTCTTGATAGACTGCAGCAGAGCCTCCATTTCGAACCGCTCAAAGACTACAATCGGAACGCCCTGTCACCATGGTCAGTGCCTAGTTTCGTCGATCTCAGGGGAAGTGTGGCACGCTGACCATCGTCAGATACTGGCAGCAGAAGCCCGAAAGCCCGAGGATGTGGAAGAATGGAACCACCAGCGCGGAAACCGTGTCGTTGCCATACATTTCAGGCAATCTTTGTTTCATCTGGAAGACGTTTGCCACGACATTGCTGTGGCTGAGTTTGACGCCCTTGACCAGTCCAGAAGTCCCCGAGCTGAAGGAGATGAAAGCAGTCGTGCTTGCAGCTTCGCCGGGGGCCATCTTCCGTGGGACAAAGTCCGCGGTGCCGTCGCTGAGAACGTCCTCTACATCGAGGACCCGGACATTTCTCGGCGCGGGCCCAGACAAACCCCAGGCATGGATTGTCGGCTGTGTCAACGTGCCTGGAACTCGTCGCAGAGCGTCCCCCAAGCCTTCTAACAACGATGCACCGACAAGGATGTGTTTCGGTTTCGATAGCGACAGTACATGCGCCAGTTCCTGTCCACGTCGTCAGTGTCCTGCCCGCATGAGGTTGAGAAATGTGGCACGCACCTCTGACTGATGGTATGGGTTGAAGGCTGCTACTACTCCGCCAGCAGCTAAGACGCCGTGGATGACGACGGGGAAAAACTTCTGTTGACCGTCAACAACGACGACCCCGGTGTCATGGGTGCAGAGGGGCTTTCCTCAGTGAAGCACAAGACGGCGACTACGTCTCCTGGGCGCACTTGTAGACGGGAGACGAGATGAGAGGCGAACCTCCGAACGCTCAGCCTCAGGCTGGCATATGTGAACACGACACTGCCTGTGCGACCGTCCAAGATAGCAGGCTTCTTGTCAGGAACATGGCCAAATGGGCTGCCCAAGAGAACCTCGGAGATGCTTGCATGTTCGGGATATTGCAAAGGTCCAGCAAGGTATGATGTGGAGGAGTTGGAGGACACAGGACTTGCCATCATTACCTGACCTAGCGATCGCCTCCGTACACCTCAGAGACCTGTATTGTGCCGTTGCTTTATCCCGACTGCTACTTTTTTATTGCTCCCCGAGGCCTCCACAACCATTGCACGGCGAACGGTGAACTTCCACCTTCTCCAAGAACACCTCGGTGGGGATGACTGCTGACCCATTTCCATCCGGGACGACTCCGAGTAGTGGTTCCGGGCCCGGAATGACTGACGATTGGACGTGCTCCGAAGCGCCCCCCCGCGTTGCCCCGGAATCGGAATATTCCCCAGAGCGAAGAGCGCGGGGTGGCACTAGTGGTTTTCGACTAGCCCAACTTGGCGGGTACATTGTAAAGTACATCAGAGTCTTCTAGCTTCCAAGGCCATGATTAGACAGCACTCTCCTCAACCAACGACCTGGTGCTGAAGTGTAGACACTTTGGCTTGGACTCTTTCCCCTCAATCGGCACAATGTCACCATCTCCTGCTCAACCGAAAGTGGCATTTGTCGCCGGCGCCAATGGTGTCAGCGGCAACGCCATCATCGAGTACCTCATCCGAAGGTCGAAAGAAGAGTGGTAAGTCCGGGCGAGGGATGATGCGACCGCTCTGACGACTATCAGGTCGAAGATCGTGGTCAGCTCGAGGAGTCCCCTGAAGTCCTTCTGGCAGGATCCGCGTGTGCACTTCATCGCCCTAGACCTCAGCTCTTCGGTCGAGGATGTAGTCAAGAAGCTGCAACCTCTCTGCACGGACGTCACGCACGCATACTTCGTGTCTTATGTCCATTCGGATGACTTTACTGCGTTGAAGGCTCTGAATGTGCCGTTGTTCGAGAATTTTCTGCACGGCATCGATACAGTGGCTGGTGACTCGCTGAAAAGCGTCTGTCTGCAGACCGGCGGAAAGGCAAGTGTGCTGCCTCTTCTCAAGCGGCCAGAATTGTCTGCCAGGTACAGAGGTTGACATTTTGTCTCTTAGCACTATGGTGTTCACCTCGGACCGCCAGCCGAGGTACCTTTGCACGAAGGTATACCGCGATACGACGATGAGGGCTACAATTTCTACTACCCACAAGAGGATCTACTCTTCAAGATTCACGCGCAACGCAAATGGACGTGGAACGTCATCCGGCCCATGGCTATCATTGGTTATACCCCTAGCAGTAAGTTCAACTTCGACCGAGAGACAGTTTCGCTGATCCATGTCTGACTGGGGATGTGCTTGGTTTGACAGAAAATGGGATGTCTGAAGCCCTTACACTTGCTCTATATATCCTTGTCTGCAAAGAGCTAGGCGAGGTCCCGGAGTTTCCTGGCAACGAGTACTTCTACAACTCGGTCGATGACAGCTCGTATGCCCAAGGAGTGGCAGACATGACCATCTGGGCAACGACGCACCCGCAAACTCGAAATCAGGCTTTCAACCACATCAACGGTGACACCTTTGTCTGGAAATACTTCTTCGCAAATCTATGCAAGCACTTTGGTGCCGAGGTAAGTGGGGGGTTCTGGACTGCCAACTGGCGTCCGAAACCGCGTTGACCCAAGACTGACTGGACTCAGGCTCCCATCATTACCGACTGGCCCAAGGGCGGTGACGGAAACTCCAAGAGCAAGGTTTTGTTAGAGACCTGGGCTCAAGACCCGAGGAAGAAAGAGGCTTGGGACCGAGTCTGTGACAAATTTGGTGGCAACAAAGACACCTTTGCTTGGGGAAGCTGGGCCTTTTTGGATTGGGTGTCACAGAAGACGTGGCCGACCTTGTCTTCTTGTGCCAAGGCACGAAGCTTCGGGTGGACGAGGGTGGACGACACGTTTTCCACTTGGATTGAAACCTACCGCATGTTCGAGAATGCTGGTATCCTGCCTCCCAATCACGTCACAAATCCGCCCATTGCAGCGCCGGGGTCAGTGGAATCTTGAAAATCTCATCTTTCTGCCGGGGCCGGGGATTGATGTTCGCGTCCAAGTCACCTTGTAGCTTGGTGCGAGTAGTTGGTGCATGGGGCTTTCATGCTAGTCACTCAGCTTGTCGTGCGAGCTGTCGGATCACTGCGTCGCACTCAGCAGCGGAATGCTTGAGAAGGATGTACGTTCCGCGAGACTGTCAAAGATGCAAGGCGTCCGAAATTAGGACAGAATCTCTATACGAAACGTCACTTAAATGCTACCCGATCGTGATGTGACTTCACGCTGAGCCACTAGTGGACTACATCTTCCAGACGGGCATGGACTTCAGGTGCTGCCGTGGTACGGCCGCCAGGTCTAAATCATCTGGTCCGATTGTCTCTAAGTCAAAAGGACCGGCAGACAGAAGCTGAGACTGACTCGGCCAGTCCCCAGAAGCCTGCCACGAAACTGCCGTCGGGTGACCTGTGGAATGAGGAGGGCTGCAACAGTCAATGGCATTCTCACAACAGCTTTCGTGAGCGGCGTGATGCTGTATTCCGCAAGGGGAATTTGAACGTGGATAATGTGTTTAGCTTCTCTCTGATAGACGTAGCTAGCTGTTGAGCTTAGGACAGACAAACTGCACCTTCTATCAGCATTTTGATAAATTTCAGTCTGTCACTATGTCAAGTTTGTGACTGCTACTTCGCACGGAAGACTTCCGATAAGGCACGCGATTCCGCTGTTGCCCTATCCTCGTTCTGGGCCCAGACTCGACTACTGCCATCAGCCTCCTGAGTTTACTCCGTGAGCTTCCGTAACGCTTTCCAGGAGAGTTTCCAGAAACTCGCTTGGCACTGCAACTCCCCGGCACTTCGCCAGATCAAAGTCCATGCCAAGGTGAATAGACCACGAACCCAGCATATTTTTATTAGTGGAAGGAGGACTGAAGTTGTTCTACCTAACACAACACAACGAGAGCAAAAATCCACCGTGACAATGGCAGAAATCTCTGAAGAAATCAGGAGGGATTGGGTATATGGGTCCACGATACCGTACGCCGAGGCTTCGTGGGCACGCGGGCTACCTTCACCCTTCTACAACGACAGCCATCGATGTCTGCGGCAGGCGATGAGGGACTGGGTGGAGAAGGTGCCGTCCTACCACATCTTTCTGCGTAAGAATTGCTGACACAGAGGATCGCGCGCAGAATGTGATGCCGTTTGCACAGGATTGGGACGACGCGCAGAGCATTCCACCTGAAGTCTACGAAGCCGCGGCCAGAGATGGCGTCCTCATGCCCATGGCTGCTGGCAGTCGCATCCCCGAGGAGTGGTGCGGAAAATATCCCATCATTGGAGGCGTCAAGCCCGAGGAATGGGATGGTTTCCACGATCTTATCCTGCACGATGAATTTGGGAGGGCAGGAGGTATTGGGTACGTCCATTTACCCCTGATTGCCTGTCCGGCAGCAGACGCTCTCATCTGACTCACTCGGTGGTCTAGCATCGAGAATGCCATCGGTGGCGTGGTAAGTGCCTTGTTGAGCGCGCAGTTCGACTGCATCGATGCTCAAGTCTTCTCAACAGGTCTTGACAGTTCCAGTTCTGCAAAGGTTTGGATCCGAAGAGATCAGGTCGAGGTATGAGAAGCACAAACTTGTTGCCTTGTTTTCGCTCCTGACTGGGCCACGCTAGAATCGTGGACGAGATCCTTCGCGGCAAGAAAAGAGTGGTTCTTGCGATCACCGAGCCCAACGCAGGGTCGGATGTACAAGGGATCAGCACGGAGATGGAAGAATCCCCTAATGCTGGGAACTTCATTGTAAACGGCCAAAAGAAGGTAAGTGTGGTATCCCCAGCGCTGTGCGGCGGCCGGGCAACGCTGAGGCTCTGACGTGCTCGATCAGTGGATTACTGGAGGCATGTACGCAGACTACTTCCTTACACTGGTAAAAGACCCGGCTGGGGGCCAGACGCTTCTTGTGATCCCGCGACAGGACGGACTTACCACCAAGCACATGAGAATGAGCGGATCTGGGGCCGCCGGCACTGCCTTTGTGGAATTTGATGATGTACAGGTCCCTGTGCGGAATGTGATAGGCCAACGTGGCCAGGCATTCAAGTACATTGTGACCAATTTCAACCACGAAGTATGCGTTTCTCCCCCAAACTTGGTCGGCTGTTGTATCGTGCTGATGTCTCGTTGCAGCGTCTGTTCATCGCATTTCAAGCTCTCCGATGTGCGAGAGTCTGTTTGGAGGATGCTATCGAGTACGCCCTCAGCAGGGAGACGTTCGGCAAGAAACTGATGGACCACCGTGAGGCTAGATTGTCCTGGCAAACAAGTGAAGTTACTGACTCGACTTTGAAGCTGTCGTACGTTTCAAGATTGCCCACATGAGCCGAGAGACAGAAGCACTACAAAGCTGGGTTGAGGTAGCGTCTCTGGGTCCAGTCACGGAGCAGACAAAACTGATCTCCCTCACAGAACACCGTCTACCAAGCGAAGGCACTGTCGCCCAAAGAAGCTGATTTTCTCCTGTCTGGGCCCACGGCACAGTTAAAAGCACACTCCGGAATCGTCTTGGAACGCGTCACTCGCGAGGCTATACAGATAATGGGCGGCATCGGGTTGACGAGAGGCGGTAGAGGAGAGCGCGTGGAACGAATCTGGCGGGATGTGAAAGCGATAACTGTCCCCGGTGGATCAGAGGAGATCTTGTTAGACCTTTCCGTGCGACGGGCGGTACTGGCGCAAAAGGTCCTCTCGGCGCCAGCAACCAAGCTTTGAAAGGAATTGTGGAATAGAGCACCTTTGTCACGAAACGCGGGTTGCGTGAGGTTTTCTCTCCGCCCTGTGCCAGCGACAAGCCTCACTTGAGGATGATAATGTCTCGCCGAGCGGATTCAGGCGAGCGTGCGGCTTTTTGGAAAAGTAGTGTATATATAAGTGCGCCCGCCTGATACTCTCAGCGTGCCCATGCATCAGTTCGTACGCAAAGCAGATGCTCGACGGATTTCCCACCGTTCGCGATTAAGATCATCTCTCTTGGAAATCTCGCGATGCAACACGATGCTGAAGTCTTGAGGCATGTTTATGCAACCTTGGGTCGGGATGCCCAGCCCAGGGGCCTCCTCATCACTTCGCTACACAATCCGGTCTTGTTATTGCGAAACCCTGGCCCTTGTCCAGCGTTGGACACTATAAATCAGGTCACTGGATCTTCAATTCTGATTTTGCTGGCCACTGGGCGCCTCTACGGATCCGACATTGTGCCAACCAGATGATGCCATAGCGTCTTCACGTCGCGGTCACCTCTAACAACGATATAGCACGAGAACCGGCGTACGTGGGTGTTATCTTCATCTCTGCACAAGGTAGCAATGTGTGAAAGTTGATCAGAGCTGGGAGGAGCATTCAAATGAGATGGCCGAAGAGCAACATGTCTGCTCGTCGAGAGCTTCCCAATACTACCTAGATATTTGATTGCGACTCTCACATGCTCCCATGCTCCTCGTTCGCAGCTACATCTTTACAGCAAAGAGCGGGTCACGATCCAGGCGTTTTCCCAACAACTAGCCGCTCGAAACTGCAGCTCATCACCTCGATCACATTCTCCCACGGGTCGGCAATGTAAATCGCCGTCTCGCCGAACAGATCGACCTCGGTCGAGATCTTCCTCCCCCCGTTCTCGACGACACGCGCGGCCAGAGCACCAGGGTCCGCTGAGGTGACGGCGATGTGAAAGAAGCCGCCTCGCGTGTACGCGCCGTCTTCGAACTTGACAGGAGGACGTTGGTTCGCTTCGTGGGGGGGATCGACGAACTCGAAGATCTCGAACCCGACTCCGTTGCCTGCGGACATGAACACGAGCTTGACCCGTTGGAGCTTCGAGCCGTACATGGCGAACATGGGCGATCCCGGGCTTTCTCTCCGGTCCCGGGTCGCGCATTTGAGGACGCGGAAACCAAAGACAGACGTGTAGAAGGAGGCCGCGTCCTCGCAGTTGGGCACCCCGATGGCGACGTGGTTGATGACCAGGTTCTCTTGCTGTTCGGCGCCAGTCAGCGTGAAGGGAACCACGTAGGCCGCGTTGACCCTGTGCTACATCGATTCAGACATACCGATGACATTTTTGAGTCCAAAAAGGAGATAATCTCTATTCTCGACGTCCGGATTACGTGGCTAGGAGTGGTGTATATTGAACCTACCTTAGTGTAGACACAGTTTGGGGCATTAGAGTCCCTTTCTACATGCAATTAGTCACACCAAACCCCGCCTGGAGTAGAATGGTGATCTGAATAGCGAGCTTTCAGCGGCTCCGGTCTCGGTACGATGCCGGCAGACTTTTCCCCTAGGGCAATCCTCATACTCTCAGCTTGCACGGAAAGCTTCCGAATCCGACGCCCAAGCAACGGCGCTCGGAGCAACACAACCTTTGGCCCTACCGGAGCAAACGTGATCTTGAGCCGTCGTCGGTTTAAAAATGATGCTCCTTAACGCTCTTTTCTCAAAATTAAGTCTCGTTAGGTAAAGAGTGTTCTACACCGCGCCCCATTTAAGCTCCTTTTGATATCGTGAACCCGGAAGGTTTGTGGGCCTTTATACCTCGGTGAGATTTATGGAGAGAAGGGGCCGAATTGATTACAGTCGAGGTGCGGTTTACCTGCCTTAATAGCCTTCTCCGAACGTAGAAGAACCTAAGTAATTATGGAGAGTAACTCTAAACTACGGTCTAAGCTCTCTAACTCTACTATTTATGTCGCGACTCACGATGCTGGCCACCGAAAAATAGCCGTGTATTCCTCATTCTAAACCCCCTAGACCTTCTAGGGTGATGCCTTTAGAGACAACGTAGAGTATACGACTACCGGAATAGCCTATGTTACTTATAGACGGCGCCGACATCTAGTTTCACGAATAGATTAAGGCGTCTAGTAACTTAGGTTTAACCTACCCGGGGGTACGGTATATCGCATCGTGGACTTTAGTTTCGCTAGCTACCCGTTTATACATCGGATATAAGTATAGACTTCGCTATCGTACTTAAAGGGGTAGTGGAGATGCATCTCGACGGTAGGTCTATTACGCTATTAAAAAAGGGAGATATCGTTATATAAAGGGGAACTATATACGAGTAGAAGCCTTATAAGCCGACTAAATAGGCTAGAATACTATTTATCTTATAGTATACTAAACTAGTTACGGTTTAAGGGCAGCGACTAGAGGAGCACTTCGGTCAGCAACCCGAGGCTCCCGAGGCCGCCTAGTCCGTATTAAGCGGTAACAAGCCCTTTAGTCTCGATTACTATTCGTATACTGTTCTCGGGAGTGTCTTAGGCGAGATTCTTGGCAGCGATTATGCTAAGGCGTGGACTTCGCACCTAATTTTATAGTGGTTTTGCATCGATTTGCATTAATAATAATAAATGAGTATATATTTAACTATTGCTTAATGAATCCTTAGTCACGCGACTTAATTAGTCTTATAGTCGGTTGCCTACGCCTTTTACCTCTAGTAAGTAGTGAGGGCGCTGTTGAAGTTGGTAGTAGAGTACTCGGTAAGGCCTTAGGTAAGGCCTCACGGCGCGGGCGAGGCCTCTTAGGCGTCCTTATAGGTAAGATAGACCTATAGACCTTAGGGGAGTCTTAGGGATACTCTTAAGGGCTACTTCTACTATAGTTTCTATAGTATTAATCCTCTCTTATAATCCTTAGGCCTTCGAGTTAGTATCTACTTACTCTATCGTTACTACTTACTCTATTACCTAAGTTACTTATAAGCGCTCTTATTATAGGGCTATCTATCGCTCCCGTCGCTCTTACTATATTACCCTTTTATTAGCCGTAAGTGCTCGCTCGTTAGTAGGTCTATAGCCGCCTCGGCGAGCTAGAGGACCCTCTCTACGGGTAACTAGTAGATATAGAGAGGTTTACTATAGAGAGTAGCTACTCTCTACCTAACGTAGAAGACTTCATAGTATAAATATTAAGTTATTCTCGATCTAGCGCTCCGCCTAGCCTTATTAAATATCTAATTAGTGCCTCTACTTAGGGCCTAAAATATTATAGGTTAAACCCGTAGGATATCTTAGTAAGAACTAGCGACGTCTAGATTCGACCGTATAGTTATATAGCCGAACGATATTACGTAATATTAATGGATATCTTAGCGAGCGACGCTAAGACTAAACTAGCGATACCTAGATTCGACCGTATAGTTATATAGCCGGACGATATTACGTAATACTAATAGTTACCTAGGATACCGGACGACCTACCCTAAGAGATTATATCTCCCTATAGATAGCGGTAGGACTTCTTTCTCTCTTTCCTTTAGCTTAACGTCCTTATTAAATAGGTCCTATAGTAGTTAAATAAGCTCCTATTAAAACCCTTATATTACGTTAAGCTCTCTATTATATAGTTAAGAAAAAGAGTTCTTATTATATAAAATAGATATATCGGTAGTTATTACGGGTTAAATCCGTATAAAGCTCTAGAGTACTCTCTAGAGCGATTACTTATAGTATACCTTTAGCTCGTATAACTATATAGCCGAAGCTATATAACTTCCCTCTATAAGGGTTTAGCTAGGAATTTAGAGTAATTCGTCTAACTACTATATAACGAGGATTCTAAAGCTAAGGAGAGAAAAGAAAAGAGAAAATCTATCTACTATACGAATAAAGAAAATACTTCCTACTCTCTTCTATAGTAGGTTAGTATAGTTTTCTAGAAGATAATCGATAGAGAGGAGTTATATAGCCTAAAGATATACTACGAGTAATCGCTCTAGAGCGTATTCTAGAGCTTTATACGAGTTTAACTCGTAATATTACTCTTCTTCTTTCCTCGTACGACGCTAAGAAGCCGCTACTCTTAATAGGAACTAGCTAGGCGCCGAGTAGCGTATAAAATAAAACTTTTACTTCTATTTACTTTTATCCTACTTTTTCTTCTCTTATACTAATTATCGAGAAAGTTTTATAAGTACTTATTTCTACTTCTATTATATACGATTATTAGTTATTATTAATCCTCGTATACTAATAGTCGATATAGTAAATAAGTAAGCGAACTAATCTATTTCCTCTTCTTAAATTTATCCTCTATACTCTAAGCTTTAGACCTTTCCGTTTAGTTATACGTACTAATAGGAGAATAAAAAAAGTTAAGATAATATAGTATTAGTAGTATAGGACGCCGCTATAACTTAGCGTTAATTAAAATAGCTCGCGCTAGCTTAAATTCCTATTTTTCTTACCTTCGAATAGTTACTAGTATCGTACTACTATAATACTTCTTAACGAATAGTCTTAGCTATACTAGAAACTAATATACCTTTCGTATAAGGAGTAGTTATTCTAGTATAGGTTCGGTCGTATCGACTATTATATATTAATACCTTACTTATTTAGAGCCGAAGTATTCTTTTCGATTTTTATAACTATTATAAGCGCTTAATATATCTATTTCTAGAGTATCGTTATATTTTAGAATACTTCGATAGTATATACGATAACTATAAGTAGTTAGATCGAGGTTCTTATTATACGAAACGCGATAAAGACGATAATAGTAGTATTATAGTATTATCGTCGGATTCGTTCGATAACGACGACGCTTCTCTTCCTATTCGTAAGACTTTCCTTCTTCCTTCTCCTCCTTCTCGCTTCGGCGAGATAGTTATAAAAAGGCTCGCCCCTTAGCGATAGGTACGTACGATATTTATTTTATTTTCTTATTCTTATATAGTACTAGTATTAATACTAGTATAATCTTAGTAAATAAGAAATATTCTCTATACTTAACTATAGCTTATATCTTAATATAGCGATTAGGCTTCGTCGTATAGTAACTAAATAAGCTAAATATATATAGTATAATTAGATATTTTATTATTCTTATAGTTTCTTCGTATATATTTTCTCTTTACTTCCGTATAGTAATTAGAAAGCCGACTATTCTACTATCGATTTATATACGTTTAAAGCTACGATATTCTAGAGCGATAATTCTAGTTCCTAAATTAATTCTATATATTTCGTTTATTTTACTAAATACTATCTTTAAGACCCTCGACCTCTTCGTATAAATTTATAGCGAATAATTCTTTTAATTTAGTATTCTTCTTCGTTCTATATATTAATAGAATTCGATTAAGTATCGTCGGTAACTTACGAAAGTAATAGATTTATAGATACTATACGTAATAAGTTCGAATAGAATATATTATAAATTCTTTTTAGTATATTAAGACGATAGCTATATAATCTAATAACTTTAGTTACGATATACTTCGTATTCTTCTAATTAAGCTTCTTACTCTTTCGCGTTATATATATATTTCTTAAGTCGAGCTAGACTTTATAGTTTCTTCTTACTTTTATTAAGTAACGACTATAGAAGTTTAAGTCTATTCTCTCGCCTTTTAGAATTTTCGTATAATTTCTTCGTTCTATCGTATTAAGCTATTTTCTTCTTTATCTTCGCGGAGCTTATCTTATAGTTATACGAAGTCGATATTATATTCGTAAGATAGAAAGAAAAAGCTTATACTAGTTAATTAAGCGTCTCTATTATTAATTACTAATTTAATAATTAATAGTAATTCTACCTAATTATCTTAGGCTTCGTTTACGAATATATATACGTACGTCTCGATCGTTTAATTTATTTATTTTATAGATCTATTCGTTTTAGGATAATATATAGTAGATAATTAGTATACGATACCTAGTAGCTAATATACTTATTTCTATAGAGCACTTACGAACTAAATTCCTCTATTCGATACGATAGCTCTCGGTAAATTATAGGTCCTATAGAATATACTTAAGAATAGGAATACTATATCTTAAGACTTAATTATACGTATCGATTTAAGAATAATTCCTTTTACTAGTCGATTTATAATTACTACTAAATTCGTATAGCTCCGACTCTCTAGAAGCTTCGTAATAAAGTCGATAAATATTTCGCTCTATATTTAGTTCGATACGAAGAAAGATTTTAAAAATTCTTATTTTCTTTTCTTCTAGGCTTTTATTTATCTATAAATATCGTAGTTTCGTATTAATTATTAAATATCTATAGTATATTTAGCTAGAAGAATTATCTTACTATTAAA